CCTTAGATGAAAATTGGTTTATGTGGTTAGAATACAGCATAGAACTTTACAGACAGTGCTTATTTATATACCTAGGCTGACCGTGAATATTGACCTATAGGAAACGAGATGTGAAGTATACGAAAAGTCTGAAAACATGTGAAAAGTGTGGAAACATACGCTTTAACGTTCAGTAATGGAAATAGACTTAGCAGAATAAGTTTTTGGATATTTTGATAAATATCTTAACACTCGTCTTCGGAAAAGTTGGTAACAACACAGACGAGGGTTTACCTGAAATTTATTTGGTTATCTTCGTTTGGGTTTTGACCACCTTCGAGGTAATTACCCTGAACCAGAGGGATGTTCTCTCTCAGTATCTGACTCAGTAGTCTCTGTTGGAGGTATTGGGGAACTTTGAAAAGTATTGAACAGCAAACCGAGTGAGAGGCGTTTCGTAATTTCACTTTACCTAAGCTTCCCTTGGCCTTAGTTGATTATGGTGCGTGGTTCAGATATCTTGGTTCACCCTGACATCATGCATGACGTTTCATAGTTTCTTTGTGACTTCAGCCTCTGTCCATCAGTGTGTAGTCGGAGGCCATGTAAAAGGGGAAAACATACGATTTTACGTTTCATGATAGAATTAGACTTATCAGAACAATTTTTAGGATATCTTTAAGATTATCCTAACATGGATATAGAACCAAGTATTCAGCAATTTCAAGGGTACTACTTAGGGTGTAGTAGGAAGTACGGAAAAAAAGGAATAAAAAGAATGGGGCGACTTACTTACTTACTTTCGCCTGTTACCCCCAATGGAGCATAGGCCGCCCACCAGTTTTCGCCAACCAACTCTGTCCTGGGCTTCTTCCTCCAGTTCTGTCCAATGTTTGTTCATTCCTCTCATATCTTTCTCTATTTCACGGCGTAATGTATTCTTTGGCCTTCCTCTTTTCCTTTTGCCTTGAGGGTTCCATGTGAGGGCTTGTCTCGTGACGCAGTTAGGTGCTTTTCGTAGAGTGTGTCCTATCCACTTCCACCGCTTCTTCCTGATTTCCTCTTCCACTGGAATCTGACTTGTTCTCTCCCACAGTTCGTTGTTGCTGATGGTGTCTGGCCAACGAATACGAAGTATTTTGCGTAGACAGCTGTTAATAAACACTTGTATCCTCTGGATGATGGCTTTGGTAGTTCTCCATGTTTCCGCTCCATACATTAGAACTGTCTTGACATTTGTATTGAAAATCCTTATTTTGGTGTTGATTGATATCTGTTTGGAGTTCCAGATATTTTTCAACTGTAGAAATGCAGCCCTTGCTTTGCCAATCCGTGCCCTCACATCTGCATCCGATCCACCTTGATTGTCGATGATGCTGCCAAGATATGTGAAGGTGTTAACGTCCTCCAAGGCATCTCCATCAAGAGTGATTTGATTGGTGCATGTTGTGTTGCATCGGAGAATTTTGCTCTTTCCTTTATGTATGTTGAGACCTACTGCTGCAGAGGCTGCTGCTACACTGGTCGTCTTCTCTTGCATTTGTTGTTGAGTGTGCGATAGAAGAGCCAAGTCATCTGCGAAGTCCAGATCGTCCAGCTGCGTCCTAACTGTCCAGTTGATACCGTGCTTCCCTCCAGATGTTGACGTCTTCATAATCCAGTCGATCACCAGGAGAAAGAGAAAGGGTGAGAGTAAGCAACCTTGCCTGACACCGGTCTTCACCTCAAAAGAGTCTGTCAGCTGACCTCCGTGTATGATTTTGCAGTTGAATCCATCATAAGAATTCCGTATGATGTTAACTATTTTCTCAGGCACACCGTAGTGTCGAAGAAGCCTCCACAGTGTTTTCCTATCCACGCTATCGAATGCTTTCTCGTAGTCGATGAAGTTGATGTAGAGTGGTCAGTTCCATTCAATTGATTGTTCCACAATGATCCGTAATGTAGCAATTTGGTCAGTACACGATCGATCCTTCCGAAATCCAGCCTGTTGATCTCGAAGTTGGGCGTCTACGAAGTCCTTCATTCTGTTTAACAATACCCTGTTGAAGACTTTGCCTGGTATTGAAAGAAGAGTGATGCCTCTGTAGTTCTGACACTTGCTGAGGTCGCCTTTCTTTGGTATTTTGATCAGGTATCCTTCCTTCCAGTCTGATGGTACTTGTTCCTCATCCCAAATCTTCTTGAAGAGGATGTGAACTATTTTCGCGGTTGCTTCTACATCTGCTTTCATTGCCTCTGCTGGAATGTTGTCTGGTCCTGCTGCTTTGCCGTTCTTGATTTGTCTGATGGCCATACTGATCTCCTCAATCGTAGGTGCGCCAATATTAATTGGGAGGTCCTTGGATGCTGCTTCGATGTTGGGTGGGTTCAGTGGAGCTGGTCGATTCAGGAGTTCCTTAAAGTGCTCTACCCACCTATTTCGCTGTTGTTCAGTGTTGCTGATTACTTTGCCTTCCGTGCTTTTCACTGGTCGTTCTGGTTTACGATAGTTCCCGGCGAGCTTCTTTGTTGTTTCGTACAATTGTCTCAAGTTTCCGTCTCTTGCAGCCTTTTCCGCCGTCGTTGCTATATCTTCCACGTATTTTCGTTTGTCAGCTCTGATGCTCTTCTTCACTTCCCTGTTTGCTTCTGTGTATGCAGCTTGTGCGGTAACTTTCTCTGCTCTTGTTCGGCTGACATTGATTGCTGCTTTCTTGTTCCTCCTTTCTTCAATTTTTGCGAGAGTATCAACAGAGATCCATTCCTTGTGATGGTACTTCTTGCGACCAAGGACCTCCTGACATGTTGAAGTGATTGCCTCCTTAATCTCTTTCCAATTGTTCTCCAATGTTGTGTCCTCTCCATTGTGTAGATCCTGTAAGGCCTGGAACCTATTGGTGAGGGCTATCCTGAATTCGTTGAGCTTTACAGTTTCATGATAGAATTAGACTATCAGAACAATTTTTAGGATATCTTTAAGATTATCCTAACATGGATATAGAACCAAGTATTCAGCAATTTCAAGGGTACTACTTAGGGTGTAGTAGGAAGTACGGAAAAAAAGGAATAAAAAGAATGGGGCGAGGAGCGGAATAAAACACATTCCTGTTCAAAGATGATGCAGTAGATAATATTTTGGGTAAAATAAAGGTATGATTGCTTGGATGTTTCTTTCTCTATATTAGAACAATAATTGCACACCTACATCTCTGTAGATTACTGTAGACAAGCCACTACTAAGATAACGTATGAGCAACTAATCTTATGAATGGAGGATATTCAAAAGAAATAAACACGTAGATATCGTGCAGATATGTGGAATAAATTAATGAAGATACAGTGGTCCGATGCTTTGTCGATGTTTTGTTTATTGTTTTTTAAGGCTGTAGTTCAAGAAGTCACTAGTGAGCATTTTTTCAACATAGGATTTCTTCGTAGGAAGTGAAACCAGTTCAAGGACAAAAGATGAGTTGTAGACAGTTGACTTTGGAACGTGACTTCAATACCATTGATTAGTTACATACTGCCATAAGCCGTAAGCAAACATAATGTTTTGCCCCACAGAAAAGTACAGAATGAGGTTATCGCCCCACCATCATATTTTCTGGTCAGGTATACCATTCTCCGTCAATATTTTGATGTTAGGCTCTCTTAAGTATAAAGAGTGTTTTCGTAGTGCTTTTATCTAAGCTCCGTTTCTCACATCTTGTCAGAATACACTACCACTACTAGTTCCACATTACAAGAAATCCAGATAGCTCATGATTCAGTTTATCGGGTAAAATATCCATGTAGATTATCTTATTGATAATAATTTATTGAATGGTATAAATTGTAAGATGCAGTTCAGCTAATAGGCAGTTTTCAGATTGAAATGATAGATAGCTGATGAAAGTATATCAAGAAAAGTAGTGTCCAAGATTCATGAGTTAGGCGAGAAGTAAGTAATGAAGCGAAACATTCGAATGCTGATGAATCAAGGATTTGAGATTTGTAAAACTGGTAACAAGTGAGTAAGAATGAACTCACAACGACTCAGGATAGCTTGAGTTGCTTGTGTTAGACAGTAGTTGGACAGTAACTGTAACTGGTGTTCGAATCTAGTTTCCACAATATATATATATATATATATATATATATATATATATATATATATATATATATAAGATACGAACTGATACAAACAGAATAACCAAAACGCGTGTTTCCGAGTTTACTTAAGAATCTTAATTACTATAAGTAATTGTGTATTCAACTTTGAGTGAGATTTGATACAACAAATCGCCAAATGTTGGATAGCTTCCATTATTCACCAGCGACAGAAAAATAGTCCGCAAAATCAGGATCTGATGACATCAGTATCTGGATCTCAGCAGAGAAATAAGATGGCAGCGGTTATTCAGGTACTTAGCCGCTATAAAAATAATGAGACTAAACGATGGCTACCTAAAACGAAGTTTATATTTCAGACATGTCATTTGATTCACAGTTTGATTCAGTTGTTTCCTCTGATTTAGTGTGAAATTGCGGTGTTGGTTAGAGTTGTCTAAAATAATCACCTAAGTCATTTCACATTTGGAAACTTTATTTATTTAAAAAAACTTCTTATTTAAACCCCTTCCATATCAGATAACTTTACAAAATGGTAGAATGAAGATACAACAACAGATGTGAAATCTTGAAGAGCGTTAACTGAATCTAAGTGCTTGTGTACTAGTTTTTTATAATGACAGTCTTCTAACAAGCTCATATTAAACCGAGCTACTTTCTGCGGTTAAATTTCTCATTTGTTTGCTAGAATACGTTTTATGTTGACCTGAATGTTAGGAAAACCAGGTAACTAGTGGCTGACATCGAATTTCTGGTTACACAGTTGTGTTTTTGTTGTTCAGATCATTAAATGCCATGCTAAGAAACATAACTATGCCCTGAAAATTCCATTTCACTGCATTAATGAGAAAGAGACTGTATTTATTTCAAAACAAAAACTCTCACTTGTTTTTCCACTTCAACTCGATTATTTATATATGAAGTTCATGTAGTTGCACTATTTCAAAATGCATGTTTGGAAGCTGTTTTGAAGACATGAAGTATGCTTCTTGGTATTTTCTTCGTATACCAAGTATGGATCTTCATTTGCATTTTTGAAGCTACAGCTGGTAATTATAAATTTGTCTGGGTATATTTTCTGTTGAATTTCAGATTGGGAGTTATCATGTTATAATGAGTCTTTACACATACATTGTGGTTCTGAAGAGACAATAATTATTCATGAAGCTCACTTTGGTTATTTCCGTGAAATTTTGTTGATATCAAACTCAACAAATAGGTGTCGTTCACACAGTTCAAGAGATTGTTGGGTCGATGTGACTGCCAGTATATCTCGACGATGTTCTGGTTATTCTATTTGTAAAAACTCAGTTCACTATTCATCTGACTTATCTGCTGAGCTATTGGCAAAAGAATGTCCCTTTATTATTGATAATGCAGCTGAACCGACGTTGTTTGTAGAGTATGATTGCATTTCAACTAGTAAGTTTAATAATGCGTTCAGTTGCTTCAGACATTTGTAACCACAATGTTTTGGTTTTTTATATAATTTCAAGTATACATTTCCGTAAAATCAACCAACAGTTATCTCAAACAGTTTGTTACATGTAGCTAGAATTTTTTTATTGATTTATTCATTGTTGGTTTTATGACGTTTTACTCTATCCGTATGAAATAACTTGTCCATATTCTACTGTACGTATGAAATTTTTTGTTTAAGTTTCATTTTTATGAAGGTGGTGACAGACAAATTATCTTATGCTTTTTGTTATCAACTTGATAGGTATATAAAGTAAATTCAATTGACTCAATAATTGTATGAAATATAGTCAAAAGCCTAACGCAGTTATTAAAATATTTATCCCACAAATCTTTTCTCTATCCTTCTGTCCTCTTAAATTTTACTATAAGATATCTAAGGAATCTGTTTCATCTGTGATTAAAATGCCTACTCCAGACCAAAATATTTATTTGATTTTAGGCGTAGAAAAGTGTGTAAATTAAAACCTGAATATTAAAAAAAAGACGTAACATTAAACATGAATTCCATGACTGTGTTTCGCTTTGTTTAAGATACCTTGGATTCTTATCCTTCAGCCGTTGAAAATAGATAAGCCTAGTTTGTAAGTTTACTAACTTAAATTCCCTAAGATCTGAAGAAACATTTTTTCCGTTTAGTGGTAAAATGCGTAACCATCTACATATTTCCACATTAATAACTGGTCACCCGTAATAGTTCTGTAGCAATACCGTTGTATTATATATATATATATATATATATATATATATATATATATATATTAGTTCCCCATCAAAGTTACGTTTATGATCTAAGCTTTGATTCGCACCCATACAAGCTGTTATAAAAATTTATCTAGAGTTTGTTCCAAATATATTGTCAGCTGATCGGATATCTATTGTTGCAATGTTTATTAAACCCTTTTAATGTATGATAAAGCATATTCTAATTTGGTAAATAGATATTTATGACTATGAACTTATTTGTTCCTAGTTATTCTAAATGTAAATCGTTTTATTTATTTCATTTCTGAAATATGTTTTCTTTCCAAAACTGAAGAATATCTTTAAGATATGCACAATTTAAGGGTGACCATTACACCTTTCCAACGTTGTGTTGATTTAACGCTACCATACCAGTATTTAAAAATCTCTTTTCTACTATACGACTGTTATTCATTAGGTATAACCCCCTGACCATTAATAAAACAACGATGATATTATGCATAGACATAAATTGAAACTATTTAGAAATATACAATGCATGTTTTTATTTTATACGTGATACTTATGTGGTTATGGAAGTAACTTCACAATAACCAACAAAACTGATTTTCTAAGTACGGTCACTTGCAATGCATGCGATCAGTGAATACCTTTAATATTATAGCTTGAAATCGGGATGCGGTTTTCCCCCTCAAAATGCAAAATGTTGCTTCAAGATTGGGTTGCATCGGCACCTGAACTAGTGATAGGGAGTGAAGTAGTCGAGCGTGTTGATCAATTCACTCATCTGGGGAGTCTCATCAGTGCTGATGGCCTGGTGACTGATGAAATCTCAGCTCGGATACAGAAGGCTCGATTGGCATTTGCCAACCTGCGTAACTTATGGCGAGCGCGAGATATCCGTTTGCTGACCAAAGGACGAGTGTACTGCGCAGCAGTTCGCTTCGTTCTCCTATATGGATGCGAAACATGGCCGTTAAGAGTAGAAGATGTTCTACTAGGTTACTAGTGTTCGATCATAGATGTTTAAGAAGCATTGCTCGTATATCGTGAGACAACCGAGTAAGCAATGCTGTTGTTAGGAAACGGGTGCTAGGTAAGGATGGCAGATCAATAGATGAAGTGCTGAAACTTCATCAGTTGAGGTGGTCGGGACATGTGTTACGAATGCCTAACCACCGACTGCCTCGTCGAGCTTTGTTTTGTAGTGTAGGAGTAAGTTGGAAGAAAGTTAGGAGCGGCCAAACCAAAACATGGTAGAAATCCATGAAGTCATTGACGAGTGGACTTAGCGATGTCAGTAATTGTCGACTACCTGGTTGGGGTCCGCGAGATGATAATAATAATTGATGGTTAGAGACCTTGAATGACATGGCTCAAAATCGTTAGCAATGGCGCCGGTGCATTTATTCTTTGTGTTCTCTCAAATCCTAATCTTCTGGATTCTTCAACACCTCTAGTTTTGACTTTCTAAACTTTTCTCATTAAATCATACTTCCTGAATAATATCTTCTGATCCTAACCTCTCCGATTACTTCTAATACCTTTACTACCTCTTCTACTATTGGATTTGAATTGAAAATTATATCTCTGTGTGTGCTAATGTGGTATGGCAACATGAACTGATGTACTTACGTACTAAGTTCTGCGTTGTATCTGTCTGTCTATACCTTGAAATCATTGATTGATATTCATAGACTTGAACTTTATTTAACCAATTTTATAGACAGGATAACTAAATGATATCAACAACTCTATTAGTCAAAAATATTGTAGCTGAAAGTCAGCTACATGTGATATTTGAGTTACCTGGTTCATTTCGGTAGATTTTATTGAAAAATATATTTATATGTTTGCAGCAGATTAGTGGAGCTTCTTTTGTAATCCTCTTTCAAAGTTTTTTTTAAAGTTCCATCTATGTCAAATCTTGCATATAATATGTATTGAAACGCTGACTAGTCATTGTCGTTTATATTACTATGATATAATTAAGAACTCGGAATTCGTTCAATAAACGTATTGATCTATATAAAATATGATATTTTTTAAATAGCTGAAGTTAGAAAGAAGCATTTTGACCATGTACTATAGATTATTTGTAACCAGAAGAGAATCTAAGCTAGGTTTTTCAATATGTATTGAGCGTTGTTTTAAAGATCTTAAACACTATAGATCAGTTTATACAGAATATCAGGGTTACCATTATAAAAGGCTCATAGTTAACAAATCATTGAAAGCCATGAGGAGTTAGGCAACTCTTTTTTTCTTAGTATAAGACTCTCCATCAGTGCATATATTCTCAATGTTGCTCAAAGGTACTGAATTCAGGATTTTCAGCCTTGATCACAAATGATCATAGCTTCTCACTAGAACATTAGAATGATTCCACAAAGAGTATGGTAATTAAACAGACACCGACTGATCTGGTCGGTTTGTCAGTATTCATTATAAATGGGATAAAATTCCAGAATATTTATTTTGAAAAAAAAACTACCCAGTCAAAGTTATTTATTAAGATTAATGTGTGATGCTGTGGTGGGAGCTACTTATAAGTAGTATATGACGTGAGCGTCAACGTAATGTTTGGTGGCAGCAGAAGATGGGGGAAGATCAAGAAATAAAGAGTTAGAACACAATGGAATTTGTATGAAACGCATGAATAGTGTGACAATGGATTGTTGATGTTTTGCAACAGGAACAGTCCTCCAGTTCGATATGATGAACTGATATTTTGCAAATGAACGATTTACGATATGGTTTTCCAATTTTACTGAGTAACTCTGTAATTTTCGGGTAAATACAATTCGGTTGCCCTCACCTGTGTTCTCCTTCACTACAAATATAACTTCATAAACTATTATAGACTGAAATTTACATTTACAAATTCAAGTTATAACTTACTATGCAAACTGTTTGTTTTGGGGTGCTTTTTTCCCAAACATTTTATCGAATCGTAAGAAAACTATGTAATTTTTAATTATATAACAAACTCTTTTGTCGATCATTATCACAAATTGGTTTTTATGACATTTATTTGACATAAACAGAAGTTGTCTATGTGTAATGAGTAGTAGTTATATGTCCTTGCTTTCATAGAGTAGATGTTTAACAATGAATAACTATATAATAAACGACTGGGAGTAGTTATCAGAAATTTATTCTTAATCTTGGTTGATATTCATTACGAAAGTGTGTTCGAAATCCTGATCAAATTGATACTTCCTGGTTGAATGAATTATACTTCTCGAATCATATCTTCAAAGCCTAATCTTCCCCGTTACTGCTAATACTTCTACTATCGATATCACTATTGCATTTGAACTGACAGTTGCGTTTCTCTGTGCTAATGCAGTATGTCAATCTGAACTCACGTACTTACGTACAAAGTTCTACGTTGTTTCTGTCTGTCTGTCTATCTTGGTTGACTAACTCAAATTTGAGTTAGCTAGTTTCAAAATTTGGAATGTTGTCACTGAGATATTTAGGCTCAGAACTTATTCATTATTTAAACTAGGCTGATTTTTATTCATGAGAGTTTACGTGTACTCTCTATTACTGTTCACGTTGAGGTTGGCACACGTATAAAATCCTCCACTTATCTTGATGAACAATATTAGCACGTGTTTGAGTCATTTGGAAGATATTTAGAGGCATCTAAACTAAAATGTAGTACTATTCCATGAATTAATTGACTGTTAACCTCAGCCATTCTGATCGGTGTACGTTACCTGACAGCGATTCACATAATTATCGCAGTCAGTGGTGAGAAACGCTGACTGACATGGTGAAGAACTAATTACAATCGCACAGATACATTCATACTCATCTACAGTTCTAATATATTCCTTTGTACGTTAGCTTAGCTTCAGCTTTTCACTCTCTGCCTTTCCGTACCATGTTGGTTACTCATTATAAGTGTGGGTCATTAAAATTATTTCCTAATTTTTTGCATTGCGGGGTTGTTGTGAAGATTGTTAAGTTTTATTTGTAACCATGAATTGGATCAATGTTAGACTAACACCATTAGAAACCTGGAAGCACTGAAAGACGGCCGTTTCGTCCTGGTATGGGACTCATCAGTGGCAGTGCGCATCCACGATTCCTGCTCCTCGCAGGATTCGAACCCAGGACCTGCGGTATTGTGCGCGAACGCCCTAATTTTTGTTTTATTCATCTTATCGATTTCCTTTTGTTTTACTACTGATGTAGCATAGCATCTTAGACTAATGAGTATTTAGTTTAGACTCTACATGAATTATAACTGACTGACTGACTCACTATTGAACTATCGATTATAATTATTATTAAATTTTCTCTCCATTAAATCTAGCTCTTGTCACACGTATATCCAATGAGAATCATGTAGACCCTGAACAAGTTGGTGGTTATTTAATCAGTTTAGATTATAATGAAATTGCACAAACTGGTTCAGAATGGCGTAGTCATTTGGCCGACGTGATGTGTAATCCAAAATGGAATCATTTACCGCATCGATTTTATTTACCAGCGCCTAAAATTGCCACAACTAAATATTTCATGGATGATAATGACAGTGGTGATGATGCCGTTGGCGTTGATCATGCATCAGGTCATCTACATGACAGTAATCATGATCGTCGTCTATTGAATAAAAACAATTTAGTTACATTTATATTACGGATTAAAGATATTGATTTGACCAAATCAACTGGGGGGAATATGAGTGAGTTATTGAATTTTTATGCATTTCATTGTTTTGTGTGAAATCAAAAATGTATTGTAAAAATTATTATCGTCAACATATAACCTGATACGTAATATATGTGTTAATTCAATTTGCCATACTATATTATTTGCATGATAGCGTTATGGAGATTGTTGAGTTTTACTTTTTGAAATCGTGAATCGATCAATGTTATACCAGCATTAGAAACCTGGAAGCACTGAACAGACGTTTCGTCCTAGCGTGGAACTCATCACCAGTGCGCACCAGTACGACTACCGCTACTCCCAGGATTCGAACGTAGGACCTTAGGGCTTGCACACCAACGCCTAATGTCTGGAACACTGAGCCGGTATCTGAAAATGTCAATGTATAACTTTGATCAATTCAAGGTCTTGTGTAACCTCATCCAATGTCTTCAGTGAGCACTGTTCCACATCTGGACAGGGTCGCACTCCACTAGTCACGACTTCTCACTAGAACTCGGAGAAACTTCTTCATGAAGTTAGTCACTGGTGAGCAAATGATAATTTGCATGATAGGGTTGTGGAGATTGTTGAGCTACTTTCTGAAATCATGAATCGATCAATGTTAGAAACCTGGAAGCACTGAACAGCCGTTTCGTCCTGATATGGGACTCATCAGCTGAGCGCATCCATGATGGTCTAGGCTTGATCCATTCATGATTTCAGAAAAAAAAACATACTATATTATCACGCTAAAATGGAATTATGAAGATAAATTCTAGAATAGTGGAATTAGTAATTGTTCCATGTTGATATATGTAGACTACCTGTTGATGTTTTCGATAGTTGAAGATTCTGAATGACATGGCTAAAAACCGTTTGCATTGGTGCACGTGCATTCATTCTTTGTGTTCTCTAAAAAATCTTAACCTTCTGAATTTTTTATCACCTTTATCTTTTTCTTTTCAAGTTTATTTCACTAGATTCTACTTCTTGAATAATGTCATCTAACCCTAATGTCTTCGATTACTGCTAATACTTTTACTACTTCTACTACTATAGGATTCGAATTAACAATTTGATCTGTCTGTGCTCATGTGGTATGGCAACTTGAATTGATGTACGTACATACGCACGTACGTAAGTACCAAGTCCTACGTTGTAGCTGACCTACTGACCGACTGACTGACTGAGTATAACATATATCCTTCCTTAAAATAATCAAACTTTCAAATTGTACATATAAATAGTTGTGGCATTTAAAAATCACACTAGACATGTTGTAAACTAAGTAGGGAGTACTTTTGCTTATTGAAAATATATTTCATAACAGTCTATTCGCGTTCATATTAAGGTGTAATCAATGAAGCAATAAAAATAGAAGTTATTCATTACGTTTAAATTGATTAATTTTGTAGGAAAATTAACTAAATAATTTTAGACATAGTAATAGTTTAAACTGTCATCAGCGTAAAATAATCATTGGTAAGTTTGAAGAGTTATGCTGATAAACACTCAGGCGACTTGATTGTGTGTTTTAACGTGACTGTTGTAATCAATAGTTGGAGAGATTAAGCAACACGGTGCAGTCAGTCAGTCAGTTGCAACGGAGTAACTTCGTACGTATGTACATAAATTCATGTTGCCATACCACATTAACACAGAGACCCAAATGTCAAATCAAATCCCATAGTGATAAAGATAGTAGAGGTATTAATGGTAATGAAGAAGACTAGCGTGGTTTGAAGATATTATTCAAGAAGTATAATTCAGTGAGATAAGTTTGGAAAGACAAATGTAGAGGTGCTGACGAATCCAGAAGATTAGGATTTGACAGAGCACAACGAATGGATGCACTTGCTCCATTGCAAACGGTTTTGAGCCATGTCATTCAAGGTCTCTAACCATCGATTATTATCATCTCGCGGACCCCAACCAGGTAGTCGGTACCTACTGACATGACTCAGTCCACTTAACAGTGACTTCATGGATTTCTGCAATGTTTCGGTTTGATCGCCCCTAGTTTTCTTCCATCCAACTACAAAACATAGCTCGTCGCGGCAGTCGGTGGTTAGGCATACGCAACACATGTCTCAACCACCTCAACTGATGAAGTTTCATTACTTCATCTATTGATCCGCCATTCTTAACTAGCACCCGATTCCTAATAACAGCGTTGCTCACACGGGTGTCACACGATATACGAGCAATGCTTCGAAGACACCTATGATCGAAAACCAGTAACCTACGAATATCTTCTACTCTCAATGGCCATGTTTCGCATCCATATAAGAGAACGGAGCCAACTTCTGCGCAGTACACCCATCCTTTAGTCAGCGAACGGATATCATGCCTACGCCATAAGTGACGTAGGTTGGCAAAAGCCAATCGAGCCTTCTGTATCCGAACTGAGATTTCGTCAGTCACCAGGCTATCAGCGCTGATGAGACTTCCCAGATGAGTGAAGTGATGAACACGCTCGACTTCTTCACTACCTATCACTAGTTCAGGTGCCGATGCAGCCCACTTTTGAAGCAACATTTTGCATTTCGAGGTTGAGAACCGCATCGCGAACATGCTTACACAGTTGCTTAGGGTGGTCAGAAGACTGCATTTCGTCAGCGTCTTCACCGAATAGAACTATGTCATCGGCATATTCTAAGTCAACAAGCGATTTTCCTGGTAGAAGCTCTACTCCTGAAAAATCTGACGAGCTTAATGTTAACTCTAAGAGGATGTCTACAACAAAGTTAAACAAGAATGGAGAGAGTAGACAGCCCTGACGAACACCACTTGATTTAACTAATTCCGATGACAGTTCGCCATAAGCTCTCACTCGACCAGTAGTGTTCGAGTAGAGTGCTTGTATAAGGTTAATGTACTTCTTTGGTACACCTTTCAATGACAGACATTGCCACAGAATCTCACGATCCACTGAGTCAAATGCCGCTTTTAGGCAACATGGTGCAGAATTGGTTGTATCAGTGACGATTTATTTACGCCGTGCTTTTTTTCTAGATTATTCTTGTTTGAAATTTTTCACTCGTCAGTAGGTTCTCACATTCTTGTTGAATCATTTTGTCTTTCTGTTTTAGTCTTTTTCTCCTGTCATTAATAGCACAATTACTCAGTCAGTCAATCAGTCAGTCAATTACAACGTAGAACTTTGTACGTTCGTGCATCAGTTTAAGTTGCCATAATACCACATTAGCACAGAGATGTAATTGTCAAATTCAAATACCATAGTAGTACAGGGTAGTCAAAGTATTACCAGTAATCAGGGAGATTGGGGTTTGAACATATTATTCAAGAAGTATAATTCAGTGAGGTAAATTTAGAAATAGAAAGATAGAGGTGATGATTAATTCAGAAAGGATGCACCTGCACCATTGCAAACAGTTTTAAGCTATGTCATTCAAGGTCTTCAACCATCAATTACTATCATCTCGTGGACCCCAACTAAGGTAGTTGACACTTCCTACCAACATGACTCAATCCACTTGTCAGTGACTTTATCAATTTCTGCCACATTTTAGTTTCACCAACCGTAACTTTCTGTCCAGCCTACTCTTAACATCATAGAGCATTGCTCACTGAAGCAGTCCGTAGTGTGGTATATAATTACTGGCTAAAAACAAATTCCACACAATAACTAACTAGTTATCTTACTTAACTATTTATTTTGAGTAATCACTGTTACCACTTGTTTTAAGCATCAACTTACTTACTTACTTACTTACTTACGCCTGTTACCCCCAATGGAGCATAGGCTGCCCACCAGCAGTTTTCTCCAACCAACTCTGTCCTTCGGCTTCCATTTTCCAGTTCTGTCCAATGTTTGTTCATTCCTCTCATATCTTTCTCTATTTCTCGGCGTGTAATATGTTCCTTGACCTTCCTCTTTTCCTTTTGCCTTGAGGGTTCCATGTGAGGGCTTGTCTTGTGACGCAGTTAGGTGCTTTTCGTAGTGTATGTCCTATCCACCAACTCCACCGCTTCTTCCTGATTTCCTCCTCCACTGAAGGAATCTGGTTTGTTCTCTCCCACAGTTCGTTGTTGCTGATGGTGTCTGGCCAATGAATCCGAAGTATTTTGCGTAGACAACTGTTAATAAACACACTTGTATCTCCTGGATGATGGCTTTGGTAGTTCAGTTCTCCAAGTTTCCTCCACACATACAGTAGAACTGTCTTGACATTTGTATTGAAAATCCTGATTTTGGTTTTGTTTGAAAGTTGTTTGGAGTTCCTTAAGCATCAAGCCATACAATAATGCAGTTAGTTATGCGCAATAAATAGTAATATATATATATATATATATATATATATATGTATATATATATTTATATTTTAGTTAATTTGATTGAAGTCTGTGAGAATATGTTCACGCATATATATATATATATATATATATATATATATATATATATATAGCGTATTGAATTTAGTAACAGTTCCGGCAAATTCTCACATGAGTACTATAGCTTAAAGTCCATTACATAAACTCATATATATATATATATATATATATACATAAATATATATGCATATAATGAGGTGATTGAAATTTTTTTCATGCATACTTCTTCAACATTTAGTCTTCTTATACGTAAATAGATTTATTGAAAATCAATAGTGTTAAATTACATTTTACAAATTTATCTCTTGATAAATCATAATAAGCTCTTTACTTGAACAGATCAATCAATCAATCAACCAATCAATCGATAATCATACTGTTCTGTGTTTTTTAATTTTAAATGATAGTTTGATTCATTTGATTAAAAATCTAGTTTGGTACTTAGTTTCCTAATTACTTACACCTGTTACCCCCAATGCCTAACCACCGACTGCCTCGACGAGATATGTTTTGTGGTGTAGAGGAGTAGGTTGGAAGAATGCTAGGGGTGGCCAGACCAAAACATGGCAGAAATCCATGAAGTCATTGACGAGTGGACTGAGTCATGTTGGTAGATGTAGACTATCTGGTTGGGGTCCGCGAGACGAAAGTCACCGATGGTTAGAGACCTTGAAT